CCTGTGCCCTCTCCCTGTGCTGATCCCACTTTTGCTCAACAAACTTGTACTCAACTAGCTTGTGCTCTTACACAACTTGCTCTTAGCCCCTGTCCTCAACCCCACCATGCCTACGCTTCCTGTTTCCACACTCTCTGCTCATCCTCCTGTGATAACGGCTCCGTAATCTTCCGTTTGATTACCCCACCCGCCGCACATTTGTTGTTGCTCCACAAGGTGCTGAATCCGCACTGCTCATTCACGCTTTACCTTCTATAGCCAGGACACTGATCTCCTACGCTCAACCCCCACCCCCCTCCACCCACCTCCACCCCACCGTGTGCAACTCCTGGTTCTCCCCCTTGTGCTCTGCACCATTGTTCCCCAATGCGCTCACCCGATGCTCAAGTTATGTTTCTCAAACCGCTGTAATCACTCCCAATGTATTTCGCACCCGGGTTCTCTCAGTTTATCCCTGTGCTCAATCCCTGTGCTCTGCACCACTGTACTCAGCTCCATCTCCAAACATCGTCTGTACTCACTTAGCTTTAGCTCCTCTCTCGCCTTCCACTCCGCCATGTTCTCCAACTTCCCTGTTCTTGGACACCATGTGCTCAGTCTTATTGTGTTCAGCCCCTGTGCACACACCCACCTAAACTCAACCAACACGTGCTCACTTCCCGGCTATGCACTCACTTCTTTGCTGAACCCCTATTGTGCTCACCCTCCGTCTGCTCAAACTCTGTTTATCACCGCCTTGTGACCCTCCTGTGATTTCGACTGTGCTACTCCACTTTGTGCTTATCCTCCTGTGCTTCCCACCATTTGCTTGTCACCCATATGACCACTCCGTCATTAACTCTCCTTTGTTGCCCATTGCCTTGTGATTACCTCCCGTGTATGCAGCACCCGACTTGTGCTCATACCGCTATCTTCTCCGCCTGTGCTCACCTCCACTTGTACTTAATCCTCCACCTTCTGCTCTTAAACTGCGCCCTCTTTCCACCGACTGTGCTCAACCCCAATATGACCTCACCCAGTCTTTAGAACCCAACGTACACACTCCCTCTTTGTTACGCTTCACGTGGCTCTGCTCCCCGCCATTTCTGCTCGCCTTGCGTGCTCTTAGCCTGGGATTGCCCTCCAAGTGCTCCCCTCTGCTCACCCCTTTTGCTCTACATTGTGCTCAAGCCAACTCTTCTTATCTATACTGTGCTCCACTTCCCCTGTACACTTCCATCCTGTGCTCACACCCACCCATGTGCAGTAACCCTGTAGTCTACTCAATGTGTTTAACCCCTGTTCTTCCCGGTGTGCTCCGCACCACATACGCATTCCCCGATTATCACCTCCTGTGCTCCCCAAATTGTTTGAAGCAGCTACACTCTCGGCCTAAAATTCCCATGCTCTAAACCCAGCTGTGCCGATCGCCGTGATGCACACCGAATCGCCCCGTGCTCTGCTTGCACCTCTCCTCATCATTGTGTGCTCATCCCCACTGTACTCAACTCCATTTGCACTCCAAACCTTTATTCACCCAGCACTCTCCTCCCACTTTTTGCTCACTCTTCCCGGGCTCAGATCCGGTGCTCACCCCTCTTTTGTTCAGCCCCGTGTGCTAAAACCCACACTGGATCACTCCACTAGCGTGCGCACCTTCCTCGTGCTTTTTCCACTGTATTCGCCACACCTATGCTCAACTCCGCTTTGTGCTCTCCCCTCCGGGCGCTCAAAACATCCACGCTCTGCCTTTATGTTCACCCCACTCGAGTTAAGAAAAAAATATCCCCCACTGTGCTCACGCTGATTGCGTTCAGATACTGAGATCACAATCATTTGCGCTGACACTGTTCTCTGACCTCCTTTGCTCACCACGCTTCATGTGCACAACAACTGTGCCCCACGTGTGCTCTTCAAGGAGCTTACCCCTGTGTACTCCACTTCCTGTGCTAAACAAGCCTGTTCTCAAAGCCCTCTGCTCATTCCCCCAACGCGCTCAACGAACCATGCTTATCCAACACATACTCACACCCAATGTACCCATAGCACTCTCCTCAGCACACATGTTTCTCGGCCCTCTGTGATCACCCCAACCCCTTGTGCCTATTCCGCCTGAGCTCAACAAACCTTGTGCTCAAATCTCTGTGCTATCGCTCAATGTCTTCAAACCTGACCTGCAAAACCATAGGCTGATACTATGCGCCCAATCCCTTTCTGCTCACAAAATGCGCTCCCTGCCATTTTTCACCCACTGTGCTCAGTCGCCCTGTGCTCACGCATCCTGTACTCATTTCCATTTCACGCACTCGTTTGTGCACACCACAATGCTCAGCCCTCTGTGCTCACCTCTCTCACACACCCATTGCTCACAACTCGCACACATCCCGAGCACGTGGTTATTCTCAGAGACACATTAATTTAACTGAGCAAATGACGCCGGCATCATTGGAATTGGATTCGGAAAATTGATCAGAGGGCTATGAGCGCAACCTCTCCTCTCAGATTTCATAAAAACTAACATATTGTGGGACACAATCTTTAACAGTGTTCCTCGATCCGTAGTTTACCGAAAACATGAGAAAAGAAAAATGATCGAAGACTGAAATATTTACCTGTACAGATGACGCCGGCATCATAGGTGTGTGGCCAGGAATAGCCAACCCAGGGCTGTGACTGACAATCCCTCAGAGTAGACTCACTCCCTCTGCAACGAACATCCCACGTCACAACGGGATCTGAGCCTTCGCCAAAGTGAGCGTCTCCTGATGCTGACAGCGCGGCTCCACAGCCCAACTCCTTACACACCACAGCCGCGTCCGCCATATCCCAACCACTGTCACCAAAGCCAGAGCCATACACTGTGCCCCATTGTCCATCGTGGTAAACCTCCACTCTCCCGGCACACGGGCTGCCGCCATTCACCAGCCTCAAACGATCTGCGAAAAGAAAAAAACATCTGCCTCACAATCACTGTAAGACATCCAGCAGATTATTGAACGGAATCCAGAATAATACAGTAAAAGGAGCATGTCACCTTGGGAGGGTTTCTGGACGGTAAAACAATCCAACAACAATAATAATCATTATAATTGTTTCAATGACTGTTAGCTACATGCAGTCGAATACCCGCGTATTAGCAGTAATATTAACAATTTATTCCACCGCTAGATATAACGGTTGCAGCTGCATTAGGAAGATAAGGATATAGTTTTTATATTATGATCCTTAATATTACATTATTATTCTTAATATAAGATTATTATAATTTATCTAAAGATTGGAGATTCCCCCAAAACTATGGTAGTGGTTTACTGCTTTGCGACAGAATACAGTAATGCGCATGTGTTACTGAAAGAATGTTGTGTGATTTTTCTCTGTCGCTAACTCATTGCTGAATATTATCCACACATCATAGTTTGGAGCTTCATTAAATATATTTATTTGTAGCTCATCAACGATCGGCATTGGCCACGACTCTGAAGCAAACAAGAACTTCACGAAGAGGTAAATATCGTTCTACAGCATTTGTTTATTGCGCTTTGGCAGATTCCCAGATGCAGATATTGTTGTTTTATGATTGCATTAATATATCGCTTTTTCTTGTTTGAATGTATGTGCATGTGTGTATGGGCGTGTGGGGGAGGCGCGGACGTATATAGTGCACAACCACACACAACACGAACGAACCCAGGCACAGGCACGAGCACAACTCCAACTCCGGCCAAAGCACGTCGCCCCGAGGACACTTCCACCACCTACAGCGCCAGAGCACAGCCACACCCCAACGCACAGACCCCTTCGACAGTGCACAGTCGCTACAATACAAAACAGAAGACATCCCCTCGGGCACGGCAACCGTCCACAGGAAATAGCGAAGCCCCCAGGGTACACAAACCCCACACAGGGAAGCCCGACACCAGGTATAGCCAGATCCAGACAAAGACCGCTCTCCCTGATAAAAACCCCTCCCAGGTAACAGCAACTACTCTCACCTCCGATAGCTGCTTCTCAGGCACAGCGGCGCCCTCCAAGGTACAGCGCTCCCTTCCCCTCCCCCTACAAACGAGGCAAAGCTTCCCCACTATGTACAGCGAACCTGAACCCCTGCAGAAACCCCACACCTGCTCCCCCCGGTAGAGCCCTCATAAACAAAACAAACCCAGGGCCCACCGACCCCTCCCCACTCTACAGACCCCACCAAAGTTTCATCGGCTAATCCTGGTCACAAGCCCCCACAATGGTACAGCCCCCACAGGAACAGCCACTCACCAAGGGTACAGAGACACCGCAGAGGACAGCCCCTCCACGGAGCACCCAACCCGACACAGCGCGATGGATGGACAGCCGAACTCCAAAGTTACAGCCTCCTACCAGTCACAGACCATCCCCAGGGCACAATGCAACACTGCGACAATCCCACACCGACACAGCCATCTCACAGAAACAGCTGCTGCCCGAAAGCACAACTGGCAATCAAGGTAGAGCCTCCCCAACGTGCACAGCATCCTCCGGGGCAAAAGCTCTCCACGGTCTTTTGCTCAAACCCCTCGAGTCCTTACTCATCCTGTGTACAACAAACCTTTGCTCACCCAACCTGTTTAGACACCCATCGGCTCACACCTCTGTGCTCCCACCCATACTTACTTCATACTCCCCGCGTATGCACAAACCCCAGGTGCTCCCCCTGTATTCGTACCATCCCCGTGTCCCCCATGTGCTTTACCCAAAATTTTGCTCGTAAACCACTGTGCTCTTCACTCCTGTTATCATCCTCTACTTGTGCTAACCACCTGTTGTCAAGCGCTGTGCTCATCACGTGCGGTCTCTCCCTCTGCTCCCCCCATCCTGACAACCCCATCTGCTCCACGTTGTGCTCAGTCCCCTGAGCTCAAAACTTCGGTTTTCATCACCTGAGGGCACAATCTCCCAATGTGCAATCGCCAGTACCGCGTCCATTTACCCCCCGTGTTTAGCGAAACCACCGTAATCACCACCTTCGCTATGCTCATCCATTCCTCAGCTCAGCTCACGATGCTCACATCATCGTCCTCAACTCCGCTGTTGCCGCACGTGCTCAAGCTCAAATCCCCTGTGCTCAGCAGACTTCCTCTTTTCCCATTCTCATCCCGTGTGCTAAATCCCACTTTGCTCGATACACCTGTTCTCAACCCATGCGTTAACCGTCATGTGCTCAATCCCCTTGTGCTCACAAACTGTGCTCCCTCCCATTTTTCATCCACTGTGTTCAGCCTACCTGTTCTCACCCATCCTGTACACCTTTCCACTACACGCCCTCGCTTGTGCTCAGCCTCAATGCTCTCCTCCTGTGCTCACCTCCCCAGCCATCGATTGCTCACAACTCTCACACACCTCGAGCACGTTGTTATTCTCAGACACACACTAATTTAACTGAGCAAATGACGCCGGCATCATTGGAATTGGAAAATTGATCGCAGGGCTATGAGTGCAACCTCTCCACTCAGATTTAATAATAAACTAACATATTGTGGGATACAATCTTTAACAGTGTTTTTCGTCCGTAGTTTACCGAAAACATGAGAAAAGAAAAATGATCGAAGACTGAATTATTTACCTGAACAGATGACGCCGGCATCATAGGAGTGTGAGTACCCGTACACTGAATAGTGCTTCCAGGGCTGTGACTGACAACCCATCAGAGTTGACTCACTCCCTCTGCACCGAACATTGTACGTCACAACGGGACCTGAGCCTTCGCCAAAGTGAGCGTCTCCTGATGCTGACAGCGCGGCTCCACAGCCCAACTCCTTACACACCACAGCCGCGTCCGCCATATCCCAACCACTGTCACCAGAGCCAAAGCCATCCACTGTGCCCCATTGTCCATCGTGGTAAACCTCCACTCTCCCGGCACACGGGCTGCCGCCATTCACCAGCCTCAAACCATCTGCCAAAAGAAAAAAAACATCTGCCTCACAAACACTAAGACATCACACAGAGTATTGAACGTAATCCAGAATAATACAGTACAAGGTTCCTGTCACCTTGGGAAGCTTTCTGGATGGTAAACAATACAAGAACAATAATAATCGTTATAATGGGTTCAATGACTGTTAGCTACATGCAGTCCAAAACCCGGGTATCAGCAGTAATATTAACAATTTATTCCACCGCTAGATTTAACGTTTGCAGCTGCGTTTGGAACAAAAGGATAGAGCTTTTATGTTGTTATACTTAATATAATATAATTATACTTTAAATAAGATTATTATGATTCATATAAAGATAGGAGAGTACTCCAAAATTATGTCAGTGGTTTACTGCTTTGCTACAGAATACATTAATGCGCATGTGTTACTGACAAAATGGTGTGTAATTTCTCTCTGTTGCTAACTCATTGCGGAATATCACACATCATATTTTGGGGCTTCATTAAATATTTTTATGTGTAGCTCATCAAGGATAGGCATTGCCCACGACTCTGAAACAAATAAGAGATTCACGACGATGTAAAAATCGTTCTACAACATTGTTTATTGCGCTTTGGCAGATGCACAGATGCAGATATTGTTGTTTTATGATTGCATTAATATATCGCCTTTTCTTGCTTGAATGTATGTGTATGTGTGTATGGGCGTGTGGGGGAGGACCGGACGTATATAATATACCATCACACACAACACGAACGAACCCAGGCAGAGACAATAGCACAACCCCAACTCCGATAAAGCACCTCCCCCCGAGGACACAGACACCATCCACAGCACCAGAGCACAGCTACACCCCAAGGCACAGACCCCATCGCCCGTGCGCAGTCGTTACAATACAAAACAGAAGATCTCCCCTCTGGTACAGCAATCGTGCACAGGGAATAACCAAACCCCCAGGGTACACAGACCCCACACAAGGAATCCCCACCCCAGCTAAAGAAAAATCCAGACAAAGACCGCTCTCTCTGATAAAAACCCTCCCAGGTAACAGCAACTACTCCCATATCCGATAGCTGCTTCTCAGGCACTTCGGTGCCCTCCTCCGGCACAGCGCTCTTTCCCTCGCCCTACCAACGAGGGCACCGCTTCCCCACTAGGTGCAACGAGCTTCAACTCCTGCAGAAACCCCACACCTGCCCCCCGGTAGAGCCCTCACAGACAAAACAACCAGGGCCCTCTGACCCTCCCCACTGTATAGACCCCACAACAGGTTCATGCCTAATCCTGGTCACAAGTCCGACAATGGTCCAGCCCCCACAGGAACAGCCACCCACCCAGTGTACAGAGATACCTCAGAAGACAGTCCCTCCACAGAGCACCCAACCCGACACAGTGCGATGGATAGACAGCCGAACTCCAAAGTTACAGCCCACTACCAGTCACAGACCATCCCCAGGGCACAATACTCCCTGCCAGAATCCCACACCGACACAGTCATCCCCGGAACAGATGCTGCCCCAGAGCACAGCTGCCAACCAAGGTACAGCCTCCCCAACGTGCACTGCCTCCTCCAAGGCAAAAGCCCTCCACGCCCTTTTGCTCAAACCCCTTGTGTCCTTAATCATCCTGTGTACAACAACCCTTTGCTCACCCAACCTGTTTACACACCCATCGGCTCACACCTCTGTGCTCCCACCAATACTTACCCCATACTCCCCGCGTATGCACAAACCCCACGTGCTCCCCATATATACGTACATCCCCCGTGCTCCACCCAAAATTTTACTCGTGAACCACTGTGCTCTTCCCTCCTATTATCATCCCCAACTTGTGCTCACCTCCTGTAGTCAAGCACTTTGCACATCTCCTGTGCTCACTCCCTCTGCTCCCCCATCCTGAAACCCATGTGCTCCCCGATGTGCTCAGTCCGTGAGCTCAAAATATTGGTTCTCAACACCTCTGGTTACAATGCTATCCCCAGAAACGCGTCCATCTTACCCCGTGTTAAACCAAACCACCGTGATCACCACCTTCCCTGTGCTCATCCCCTCCACTGCTCAGCTCACGGTTCTCACATCACCGTCCTCAACCCCCTGTTGTCCCCACGTGCTAAGCACAAATCCCATGTGCTCAGCAGACTTCCTCTGTGCTCATTCTCATCCCGTGTGCTGAAACACCTTTGCTCGGCACACCTGGTCTCAACGCATGTTTTATCCTTCATGTGCTCAGCCCCTTGGGCTCACTCATACTCCACTCAACCCTCCGTACTCCCCCTTGTGCTCATCCCCGCAAGCGCTCACACCATCTGCTCACCACTTGTGATCCGCCCCTGAGCTGTCCGATGAGCTTAGCCACCCTGTGTTCAACCACTTCCTTTTCTCAAATCCCCGGTGCTTACCTCTACCGTGCTCATTACATCCCCGTGCTCACCACCGGCCCAACGCTCATCCACCGTATGCTAATCCCTCCTCTATGCTCACTCCTACTGTGCTCACCCCATTGTCTTCAAGCGCCGTGTTGCCCCCTTTGTGCTAACCAAGTCCCAACTCTTCTCACCTAACTCCGAGCGCTCATGCTCCAGTGCTGACCCCAAATATGCTCAACTCCTATGCTTCACCTCCAGCTATTTAGTCCCTGTGCTCACCCACCCTGCACCCGCCCCGTATACTCTGCCTCTTGTGGTCGTCCCCTGTGCTCAGCCGCCTGTGCTCAACCCACCAAACGACCCACTCGGAAAACGACTTGATGATGATCGACAGATTTGCTTAACTAGCAGTGACGCAGACAACATAAGTGAGCGACCCGCATTTATGTCCCTAGGGCAATGACCGTGAATCCACTGCTTCCCAATACCCTCCACACCAGATTTAATAATAATACACTGACATATTGTGGGTTACAAACTTTTATCAAAATTTCCCTAATTCTAATTCCTAATGAGACAATGAAAAATCATCAGAAAATGAATTAATTACCTGAGCAGATGACGCCGGCATCAGAGGAGTGTGACCAATAATAGTGACGCCAGGTCCCTGAGGAACAATACCTTAGAGCATACTCACTCCCTCTGCACCGAACATTATACGTTATAATGGGACCAGAGCCCATCCCAAAGTGAGCGTCTCCTGAGGCTGACAGCGCGTCTCCACAGCCCAACTCCTTACACACCACAGCCGCGTCCAGCATATCCCAACCAGAGTCACCAGAGCCATAGCCATACACTGTGCCCCATTGTCCTTCGCGGTAAACCTCCACTCTCCCGGCACATCGGCTGCCGCCATTCACCAGCCTCACACTCCTGTAAAACACCATACGCAACATTGAGAGTCCGTTTCGTCTTTGACTTCCAGTCACTCAGGATAATACAATATATGTCCATGTACACAAAATCTGTCACATTGGGAGGATGTTTGGCGTTAAAAAAATACAACGTCAATAATAATCATTGTATTGGTTGCAATGTTTGCTGGCTGTACACAACCCAGGTGTCACCAGAAGGGTAACAGGTTACCTGTTGCAGCTACGTTTGCAAATAAAGGATCGTGATATTATACGTTATCTTATTATGCTCTACATTATTATACTGATATTGGATTATTTTACATCATACTGGACTGTTATACTTTATATTAAACTATTCTAGTTGATATTAGAATACTACATTCTTGTTAGATTATTAAACTTTATATTTAGATTTACTTCAGTGCACAATTTTACGCACGTTTCCTCTATCCACATATTTCTCTTTATCTAGCAGTCAGTGGGAACCCAGCAGTCAATTGGCGTTTCTTTTCTGGGGATAATAATCCCTTAAAAAAAAGTAATTTGGTCACTCAATCCTATATCTCCAGCAAAGCAAGCAGCTGTTTCATATTGCAGTATATTCTGTGAAGCATTTTGGGACCCGATAAGGCTCTAAAACAAACCAAGAAATATTATTATTATTATCATGTTTATATTAGATTACTACAATTCGTATTGCATTATTAAACGTTGTATTATATATTTATTCTTCTACTTTATATACGATAGGAGATTCCACCCAAAATACGGCCATGGTTTACTGCTTTGTTACAGTATAAATTAGTGCAGATCGCTCAGAGCAGAATCGCTCCCTCTGTACTGAACACCATACTTCAGAATGAAGCTTGGTCGATTGGAAGGTGCTCAAAAGCTAACTGAACATGGAGAAGGAATGGGCAAGGCACAGGGTCTAGGAACAGTGATAATATTCCCATAGAAACATTTGGTTGTTAGATTGTCACCAACCTGCAGATTCCACAGACTTTCTCTCCAGAAGTATTACTGTACAAGGAAAGAAAGATAAAGGCAGGAATTATTAATAAAATAATTCACCCAAAGATCTGCCGGCACATAATCGTTCCTTGACTACAGGCAGCCACTCAAGTTCGCCGTCAAAAAGATCATGAGTGGGGGAGCGAACACCAGCACAAATACAATCGGGAAAAAGCGGACAGGGATTGGGATTATTGTAGAGCGCTCCAGTTGGGGAGCGAACAGCATCACAGACACAATGGGGAGAGCGCACAATAGGACTGAACAAAGATAACTTTCACAGACTGACAAGCACACGGTTGGGCTGAACGGCATTTTCTGCGAAAGAAAAAAACGCAAATTACTGCAGATGCTGGATATCAGACAACAAAAACAAAAGTCGTTGGGCACATTCAGCAGTTGAGGAAGCAGATCGTACGAAGTTTCGAACAAACGTAACGTTGACTGTCTTTCTTTTCTCCTTAGACGTTGCCTAACATGCAGAGTGTTCCAAGTGACTTCTGAATTTTATTTTCTGAGCAGGGCCGTTTGTGTTTCTGTTTCTCTTTCGAGGCTTGGGGAAGAAGCCATTTGCTGACCACTCATAACCTGAAAAATTATGTTTAAGAGACAGAGCAGATTGTGTCTCCCTTTCTCTATGAAGTGCGCTTACTGCTGTTGTTTTTCCTGGTACCTCCTGTCCCGTTACCCAACAGTAACAACTTACATTTTGACATCTTGCATTTATACAGCAATACATACACGTTAATGAGGGAAAGCGTAGAAAGGACTTTCTCTCCTCACTGTACCCTTTCTCCTTTCTCCACTTTTGCGCTCTCCCCTCCCGCCTATCCTATGCCAACAAAAAAATTAAGGAGCCTGGTGGACAAAGGCAACTAAGGTGATCGAACGCATGGTCAGATGGAAGAGTGCTCAGATTTATGTTGAAGGAAGCAAGGAAACGGTGAGGTAAGGGGACTGCAGAATTTAGTCCCAGTGGGTGGTTAGAGAGTGGTAAACGCTCGCCCGTCAATGGTGGGGCTGTGAGGTGGGAGACATGAATGAGTCTGGAGGCCGCTGAGCTGAGGGAGCGGGCAGATTGGTAAGGCGGTAGGAGTTCGCAGATGTAGGGGTGAGTGAGTAGATGGAGGGCATTCAAGGTGAGTAACAGGATCTTGAACTGTATCCAAGGATTGGAATGATACGGTCACAGAGACTGGTAGAGGAGATGACACTAGCTGCAGATTCTGGGTGATCTGCAGCCGATAGAGGGCGTACTTGGGCAGGCGGACAAGCAATGGGTATGCGTACAGAAGCCTGGATCTTATAAAAGCATGTTATAAAGGCATGTATGCGCGTTCCGGCAGCCTGCGGTGTGAGACAGTGGCGGAATTGGTTAATGTTGGGGAAATGGGGGCAGAGCGGGTTATGGCACGGGTTTGGGATACAAAGGATAGTTGGGGATCAAAAAAGACGCCTCCCACTCTTCTCTCCTTTCCATCTGTCTCGATGACACGACTATCTGAATGGATTATAAAAATACATAATAATCCTTGCATTTGAGATAGCGCTTTTCGCGTCTTCTCGACATGTCTAACGTGAATTCACCGTATATTTGTAGGCGAAGGGCGGTTGGCAATTGTACATAACAGTGTCCTGCAGACAGTCGGTGATTGAAAATGAGCACTGCAGTATTCTTTTGTTAAGGAGAGATTATTATGAGGCGTATAGTGTAGAATTTGCCCAAGGTATCGCCCTGCCTGGAAGGACCAATGTGTTCGCTTGCAAGGCTATTGCTCTAACCGCAGAGCTACAGAACCCCACTTAACGGTACATTCCCACAAATATTCTTGGATAGAAACGGTACTCACCGAAAATAAAAAACATGATTCCATTTCGTGAATGTGGAGGCGCTCGAGCTAAGTACAGAACCTGGAGTTTTTGTCCGATGGGAAGGGATCTCTGCAGACCTAAGTCACACGGAGTAATTCTCAGGAGAAGCTTTTGACAGTGTCACACTGCTCCGTGATCACCAAACATTCACTTCTCTGCAACACTTACATCTAAAGCTGTTGTGACACACACTGAGGAACAGTCTGACACACACGCAACACACAACGATACAGAAAGACTGAGCTGTGATAGCCACACACAGAAACATACACACTCAGAGAGCAACACGAACTGTGACTTACAGATGTATATTTAACGATGTGTAGAGACGGAATCAGAGAGTCAGACTCTCTCTCTCTCTCTCCGCAGAACGAACAAGACATGTGATGTCCTTTACAGGAATTGTTGCAACACTTCCACACAAACCGCCAACGTGAAGCTGATTCTCAGAAACTGCAGAATGCTATTTTAGTGCGTGAGTAAAGCTCCGATTGTGAGCTGTGAACTGAGCTGGAAACCCAGCTCTGAGTATTTTGTGGAATGAAGAAGTGGATTCTTCCTGGTGTCACATTGGACACTTCTCCATTACTGTGTGCACATTTCTGCGTGTTTGTGTTCCTCTGCAAATACACAGTCGCAGCATATTACATTGTGGAGTCCTGTAGCTCAGTGGTTAGAGCACTCGCTTTGCAAGTGAGAGACCTGAGTTCAATTCCAGGTCTGGGCGGGGCGAAACCTTGGGCAAGTTTCCTTACTCCACACAGAGCCTAATATTAATCCCTCCAAAAACCAAAACAATAATTAAATTGATCATTTTCAATCTACAACTGTTTGTGGGACATTGCTGTGCGCAATTGGCTGCCGCGTTCGCACACAAATATACAGTCAATTCACTTTACAGTGTGTTCTGTGAAGCGCTTTGGGACGTCCTCCCGACGTGAAAAGCGCTATATCAAATGCAAGGATTATTATTATTATTATTGATTCCCGTGAAAAACTATGGAAGGATTGCACGCAGCAATGAATCCTGGATTCATATGTAACAGTACATAGGCACGAGAAGCCACACATTTACGCTCACAGTTTAGACTCTTTGGCTTATTACCTACTTCCTCTTCTATGTTGCTCACATTTTATCTTTTCTTTCGACATCCTTCTGTCCTTCGCCGCAGTATTTCAGGGCATTCATTGCTGATTAATGTCAAGCGTAGATCACCGTAGATTTATTGGGTTATTACCACGGATGAAGGGGATGAGTTACGAGATTAAGCTGACCAATTTGGGCCTTTATTCTCTAGAATATAGAAGAATTAGAGGGGATCTTATAGAATCCAACAAGATCATCAAAGGGCATGATAGAGCAGATAGTGGGAGATTGTTTCCCCTGTTTGGAGAAACTAAAACCAGGGGTCACATCCTTAAAATCAGAGGCCAACCCTTCCGCACTGAGTTGAGGAAGAACTTCTTCACTCAGACGGTCGTGAATGTATGGAACTCACTACCCCAAAGTGCTGTTGACGCTCAGTCCTTGAACACATTCAAGACTGAGATAGATAGATTTCTTACTGCAAAAGTGGTTAAGGTTTATGGGGATAAGGCGGGGTGAGGTTATTAGCTGGAGTTAGATCAGAAGATCAGCCATGATTGAATGGCGGGGCAGGCTCGAAGGCCCTAATAACCTAATCCTGCTTTTATATTTTATGTTATGTCTCCATCCATCTGCTACTCTCACAATATCTGTCAAACACACAATGTTTCTCGCAGATTCTCAGTCTCTCTCCATCTGTGAATCTCAAAGCTTCTTTAACACACAAACTGTGACTCTCGCACTCTCTCTGTCTGTTTCTCTCACAAACCCAAGCAGACTCTCTTTCTACATCTCTCAAACACTCACTCACACTCCCCATATTGTTCCTTAACACTATCAATCTGTCTTACAAACTTTCTCTCTCTCTATATACATATATACATATACAGACCAGATCAATTTAAGGCGTACGCAAGGGTCAATATTGGATATTTTGTAAATGGCAAAAGGTGATGTGTAGCTGAACCACTGTTATGGTGTTAGCTTTGCAATTTTGCCGGATATGAAGCACAAACCGCACAGCAACTCCCAGCAAAAAGATCTCAAACATTTAACG